CTTAAAATTTTTCTGCTTCGTGATTTTTCAATATGTCAGTTCTTTTCCCTTTGTTACTTCGATATCTTATTCTCTTTTTTCATTCTGACAGTCCTATCTTCAGATATGATCCACTTAACCAAACAAATCCTACGCTCTTCACAAGTTTTTTTTAACGGCCCACATTTGCGATTTTCGCTGTCTTCTCTTATTTTGTCGCTGACTTCTCTGTTTGTTGTGACGAAAAACAAATAATTCAATTTTGAGTAACGATCTTCAATAGGCATTGCCACTTTAGCCGATTTAAGTGATTGTGGGCCGTTTATTCATAGTTACTTTTGGTTTTCTAATCTACGTTTCTGTGTCAGCTGAGATGAACCAACGAATTGTTTGTTGTAGTGGTTTATAATAAAGGCCTTACTTTGTGCATTTTATTTTATGTTCGAAAGTAGCTGTTGTTTGAATTTTGAAGTTTTTGGATAAGGATCTCGTTTTTCCATATCCAGTTCCATCACATTAATTTTGAATTGGCGTCAACGATATCTATAAACAGGCCGGCAAAGTCGGAATTCAAATTCAAAACTGATTAAGTATTCTATCTTAAGAGACCGCAGATGAAGGGATAAGCTGAACTGTGAACAATACTAGGATTAACTTTCTTCCTCAGTCGAATAAGTAACTAACATGATAATCTAAATTTGCTTTCCTCTGCAAAATATATAAGATCTTTGTTTTCTTTTGAGGGTTTAATCCTGTACCTGTTCAACTTAATAACCATGGTAGTATCGCAGGAAATATTGATCATTTTTCTTCAAAGATATGCTTAATCTCAGCTAGTTTGGGTTACGTGCATTTTTTCTTTACACCGTTCCATCTCAATCATCATATTAAATGTAATTGTTGAATAGCATGGCTCACTCTTATCTTTTTTACTATTTTAGGTTTAAGTTGATATTGCAGTTTTCCTTTAAAACACTAAATTTATAAATTGCTAAGGAAGTAGTAAGTAACTTTTCGAAAAGGAAAATTAGTTTTCATGTGAAAAATCGCAACAGTCATTAATCATCGTGCTTTGACCATCATTGTATAGCAGTTGTTGTTCATTTGTTTATTTTCGTCGAATAGTCAAATTTGATTTTTAGGATATTCCAGGTAAAGGTTCATATTATTAACATATTAGAATAATTTGCTGGGTGCATTAGAAGGCGAAAGAATTCGTTGCAATCTTGAATTATCTGGATGTACTGTTCGTACCATGGCCTTACATCACAACGATATAACCGGAGGACATGTGACACCGGATGGTGTTGTTTATCATCAGCATATGGATCCAGAACATGATGATTTACGACGAATGGATGATGACATCCATGATCCTACATATGCTACTGAACATGAAGTAAATTTGAATATTCATTTAATTGGACAACAAAAAGTAACATGGATTTAAAGTTACCGCCACCCCCCTCCTATATTCGGCTCAAGAATTCTTGTTTCCTACATGGATTTTGCACTTCTCACCACTTATACAGTTTCAAAAATTTTCTGAATTATTACAAATTAGGTTTTTGTTAGAACATGCTTTTAATCCCTACCTGGCGGAAGGATTTGACGATGTGAAATTTATTTCAGTGATAGTAAAATTTTGATATTTTAAAAATTGTTAACTTAGCCTATTTTTTTAAAGTTTGGTACCGACGACGATACTCCACATCATACCCAACCACGGGCTGTACATCAGTGTAATATATGCAACAAAATTTTCGTTTCATTTAAAGGTAAACATTTTTGTTTCGCTTTTTAAAGTCGTATATTATTTTGTAAAATGAATCGGGAGGTTCATAAGTTTTCATTTCTTAGCATTGCCAGTGCAGTTTATGAGTTTCTTCCATTACCTATGTAGTGAAAGTATTTGGAACAATTAATAAACGATTCTTATATATTATAAATATAAGGAAAAAATTTAAGTATTTTCATTATCCCCACTTAATATCTATCCAAATATCAAGAATTGATTAAACGAGAAAAATTTAGCATTTATTGAAGTAAGTAGTAGAGATTTATCATTTGTTTAGTTATAAATGTCTATCATTTATAAATTGAACCGAAAATTGCGGACAGTGACTGAAATTGTACATATAAAAGCGAAGAAATATCTCGTGGGGAAATAATCATATGTTTCGAGACTTAGATAGATAGCTAAGCATTTCTAAATTAGGACTGAGTGCTTTCGAAAATTTGAGCTGAGAATTACGAGCTTACATTGCTCATTCGAAACATGTCAATCTGATTTCTGTAGTGTTTGTTGATTTTCTTCAGGAATTGAGAAGAGATGAAATCTGATAATTTTAGGCTTGCAACAGCATGCCGTAATTCATACGGATCAAAAACCGTTTGGCTGTGATATTTGCGGGAAAGCATTTCGATTTAAATCCAATTTATTTGAGCATCGCTCGGTACATAGTGGGTTTACTCCTCATGCATGTCCATACTGCGGCAAAACATGCAGGCTTAAGGGTAATTTGAAAAAACATTTGAAAACACATGTTTCAACAAAAGAAGAACTTGAAGAAGCCTGGAAGCCGTTTGCAAGGTAAGCAATCAATTTCCATAATTTGTTTGAAAATTATGCAAGATTTGTGAAGCCTGTCCCATGTTCCTTAAAGATTAATTTTCCAAAATACTTTCAGCTGCAAAATAGAGTTTCTTTATCAGTTTTTGTTGCATTGAAGATAACTTTTATTTTAACTAAGAATGCTTATCTCATATTCCTTTCCCATCTTATACTAATGTTTCTTCGATATAAGATTGCTTGTTATCGTTTTCTATTATTAATTTCACTGGATTTCTTTTGTAAAAATAATTGCATGGTTTTAGAGAAGTCGTGTTATCAATAGATAACACGGCTTCTCCAAAACCATGCAATTATTTATACAAAAGAAATCCAGTGAAATTATATAATAGGAAACGAACTAAATGAACTTTAAATCTTTTATGCGGATTAAAAAACACGAGATGTTGAGAAAGTAAATTTTTTAAGAGAAACAGTTATAACTACTTGATTTCACAGTGCATGTTTATTATTTCTGGCTTCCTCCCTCCCTTTATTCAGCTTTTAGTCATTTCTCTTGATACTCTTATCATTGCAGCAATCGGAGACCACCAGCAGATATTCCCGATGATGCCATAATAGTACGTAGCGCCGGTGAACCCTTTTTCACGCCTCCAAGTCGTCCGCGAAAGCGAAAACTTGGTTTAGGTCCTGATGCGCGTCCATGGATTGAAAAAATCCGACGTGGGGAATTATTACCGAGTGCTCCTATAGTTGAAAAGGTTACAAAAAAAAAATTTTCTCATCCAATTTCTTGTTTTGAAGTATGATTAAGGAGGGAATAGATTAGTTTCTATCAAAAACAGTGAGATCTGGAAAAAATTATAACATTTTGTCACCTAATTTTTACGCTAAAACTAACAATGATTAACATCATTGCAGAACCATATTTAAAAAACATATTTTGTTGAAACTGTTTATTGTATAAACTTTTGGACCATTTTCCATAACCATCGAGTCTGCTTCTTTTGGGTTCGCTTGTAACTCTCTTAAACATATGTTTTGATATAATTCATGAATGTACAACTATAATAATACAAATTATAGTTTTACTTGTAGATGCGAAGATTATCGGAGTTATTAAAATCAGCTGAGGAGAATTCATTTAATCTTGACGAAATATTCGAGCAGGCTCGTGCATTATCGTTTGAACGTTTTGATTGTCCGATTTGTAAAGTAGTGTTCATGTCAAGGTTGGAATGCGTTGAACATGTTGATATTGAACATCCGATGGCGAGGACTGAACGACCATTGTTTTGCGAAGTAAGTTTCTTTGTTTTTTAAATCAATTTAATTTGCGGAATTGTTTATGGGCACTAATTTTTCCCTTATCAGTGGTAAAGCATGCAGGTTGATGATGAATAAAATAATCTGATCTAGTGAATCCGAAAAGGAACGTATGCTTGAAGTGATGGGAGGGTTTTTTAGAAGAGTTACTGTTAGGAAATGAAATTTGTTAAGTATAATATGTTTGATTTAGGTTTGTTTGAGAACTTTCGCAGACCGTAAGGCAATGGAACAACATGAAAGTTATCATAAGCGGGTTCATTTGCTCATTGAACATGGTGATCTCGAGGTAAATTTCTCTGATTTTAATTTAATGAGTAAAACTCATCAGTGTGATGCTAATTATGAGGGGTTTATGCTAAAATGTGTGATTTGGAGTGATGTTAGACTTAAGTTTAATTTCATGGGATGTTTTCTGAACTAATAACTATAGGTGCAGAATCTTGTAGGAGGATTGGAGCCGCACAAACTAAATAAATGATTTGGCTATTTTATATTTTGGATGCAAAAAGAAGAACTGAATGAGATTTATGAAATGCTTGTGAAATGTCAGTCATTACTTGAGATATGATGACTCTTGGCACCTAATCGGCTAGCTTTCCTACTCAGTCGCAGTTTAATCGTGGAAAATTTGATGATTAGTGAGAAATTTAGAGAAGAAAGTTTGTTGTATATTATCAGGTATTTTTAGAAATTGATAACTGAGTTGAAGTAGATTTTATGAACTTAATGACGTACTGTAATCTGTTTAGATTGTGGATCCGGAAATTTTACTTCCAGAAACGTGTGACGTTATGGATGAGGAGGTAGAAGCCGTTTGAGTTGTACTATGTTGATTGATAATGAATTTATATATAATTTGTTTGGAAGTTTTGCATTTCTCAACTCTTCGTATCAAAAGCCAATTTTGACTGATAGTTTTTCTCGAATTTCAACTACTAGTTTTTAAAATAGAGTTCTTTGTGTTTTCACCTCATTTGCAATTTTTTCACAGATATTTACCTCAGCTTCAATAGTAAGTATTAGCCTTGATGGGATTGGCATATCGTTTCTTTTTTGTAATCCAGCATTCTACTTTCCAGTTAAAAATTTTAACTGTTTTCAGTAGTATTTTGAATAAATGTTGGAGAATTTTGTTCAAATGTTTTCGACTCTGTTGTTGTAAGTTATTTCTATTAATAAAGTGTTGAACAGATATTCGAAGGTAACTGTTCATGTAAATAAATATATTAATTTGATAGGCAAATAAACAAGTGTCCGTAAATTGTCAAATGAACAAATCATCTTTATGTTTCAGTTAAAAAGGAGATTTATGATTTTAGGATCAAATTTATACAAGTATTTTTCTAGAAATACAAATTTATGTCCAATAAGTTATTTCATGACGAACGTACTATGACTTCTTCCACCATACTTCTCATTCTTGTTTTTGTTAGTAATTTGCAAAATTCTTGAATTTCTATTTAAAAAGTTGTTTTTAGCTCTTTATTCCTTGATTGTAAATTTCTGTTTTTCATTTTTCTTTGAATTTGAGTTTGTTTACTGTCTGATGTATCGTTTTATATGACAATTGTAAAGATTTCGCAATTTTTACAGTCACCTCTGTCCTCTGTTCATTTTACCAACAATTTTTTGATGGGTTCATTGCGAAACATATGAAGCGTGTAGATGGTATGCTTCTTAATGGCTGGTGTCGACAGTTTTAAAATCAGATAAAAAGGTTCTGATGTCTGAAGCATAGTTTCTAAAACCATGGAATTCAAATAAGATTTTGTTTCGCATAAATAAATGAAGTTAACTGCGGAATGGATCAGTGGTAGATACATTTATCCTGAAGATTGTCGTTGTTCGAATAACTAAAATTATTTAATCTTGAATGCATCATCAATGTGACGTAATAGCGGTGTGTTCTCTGCTTGTAAACAGTTCCAGGCGTTAACCAGAAAATAGAACAGCAAGTTCTTGAGCATATTGCTCTTATAATCTTAGTATGCTTCTCCTCGGATTCACATATGCAGTTTTCCCTGATGTATATTTGCATCTGTACGGACAGTCTTGGATAATTGGTTGTAGCAGGTCTGCAAAAGTCAGGGATGTGTTACTAGCATATTGTTGATATCAGTCATATATGATCACACAAATAATCGACACATCTTTGGCGCTTTGCGAGAAGTTTCCCAATTACCATCGCAAGGAATGCGTTCGATGCGAATACTTCTTGACAAGTTGCATTTTCTCTTTATGCACTATCAAAAGCTTGCGGAGAGTCTTGATATTCCTCTTGCACGAGAATGCCGTTTAGTTCGACACGCATCATATTTGGCTTGAATTACCGGGTTGTGCAGTGAAAATCTACTTTTCTGCATCACACATTGTCGGTCTTCTTCGACCTACCTAAACAATTTTCAAATGGGATGACCACTATTTCTGAGTTATTGTTGATCAGAAAATGCTGCGGGAACTTTAAACGGCACTCCATGATATATTCTTTTGTATGTTCTAGCACACTCTGTTACAAAAAGTGAGTGTTTTACCCATCGAGAGATAACTGTGCAGTGGCAGAAATTTTTAAGCTACCATCTGCTTGCATTGCTTATACGAACTGTTCCCCTTTCCAGACCCCATTATGACGCTGATTCGAAAAAAGGTCGAATTCTACTGATCGATGCAGCACACCCATTCTCTGTCCTCTCGCAACTTGAATGGATTTATTCATCCACTGCTCGATTACACTGTCCATACTTTGGTTCTTTTATTGGTTAGTAAATGACTGCCTCCTGAATTTTTTTGGTTTAACGACATTGCACAGTAAGTCACGACTTAGATTGCAAGTATTATGAACCAATCCTCGATTTAAAATTCTTATGAATCCATTCATTTATGTTCAAAAATAGCTCCACGCTATCTTCAATTCATGTACAGGAACAGAGTTCTTTCTCATTGCTAGCGATGTTCACCATATTGTCCGACAATGATTTAAAATCATCTGTTCTCGTTCAAATGGTAATTCTGAACCGATTAAACTTGTTTATTAAAAAATCAAGGCTTTCCATTTTGTGCATTTACATCATCAATCAACATATTTAATTAGGAAAAAATTACTCTAACAAAAAATCACTCGAATCAGGTACTACTGCCATTCACAAACGAATGATTTTTCTTCCATTTGCATACTTGTAACAGTATATTCAAGCACTACATTCAAATGACCGCACCACTTCACTACATTCCAATCAATTTTATTGTATATAAAAATCAGTTGCAGATATCATCAAAAGAGAATAATAGAAGAAAATAACGAACAGCAAAAGCAGTAGCGATTACTGAAAAAATTAGTTGTATAGTCTTCGAACCAAGATAACAACAATCCACCCTTATCACCTTTTCCCGAATAAGAAGGATGACACTTTGTTACCGATTTTGTAATAAGATTTATAGAAGATTACATAATTGACTCGACAACCAAATGCTTGAAATAAAAAAAAAAATCCATTTATTACTCAACAAGAAGGGGCACAGTAAGAAATTAGTGCCGGAAAAAAAAGCAAATGAGCATAATGTGTCAGCATTCCTGTAGACATATACAACAGCAGGGAAAAAAATTTAATTATAAAGCACATCCTGGAAACCACGTCCTCGACGATTGGTTATTGGTATACGTTGAAGAAATGTGCTACTTGATTCGAAACGTTGTGGCTCCGACTGAAATTCTTAACTGCAGAAAAAAGTAGCCACTATTTTAAACTTATTTTTAATTAGCAGATGAAAAGTATGAAAAGCATTTATCACGGAGAAAGCATCCTACATATATCATGCTATTAAGCAATGAAAGCAACTATTGCATCAGCATCAGCGTAACCAAATGATAATCATACCAAAAAGATCAGTTACAATTTGTGAAAACCTACTCTTCGCAAACCAATTCCCAATGCTTTACGCATTTGCGCTGCATTTGGATTAACGACATATTGCGTCTTGCGAATCATACGATTATGTGGTTGAACACGTCCAAACTCAGACTGGGTGCGAAATTGAACTTGTCGTGGCTAAAAACATACCATGCCATAATCGCAATAGTAATTACCTCGAACATCATTTTTCGAAATACTCAAAAAATATACCGCATTTCTAACAACGACAACGCTTGGTTCATTTAAAATAGTGCGTTTACGTATTCCTCCACGACGAATAATTATCGGCTGCTGCTCAACTATCACTGGACGTGCACGACGTTGCATTACAACTTCACGATGTGGTTGTGCAGCTACTACTCCACGGCGTAATACCTTCTGTTGAAGCACTGGACGAGCACTGCAATCAACACCATATCTTACTATTAAACATAATGTTTCTTTACACCTATTTCTAAGCAATTTATTTCCTTACAAAAGTGTCCTTCTATTCTAGTGATCGATATTCTAAGTGTAGAGTGCCACTGTTCCCCGTCCACCACGTAGATTTAAAAAGCCACTGAAAACACACCTTAAATATGTTAAAACAAAAAATGACTGAACTGTTCACAGACTTACATTTCACGCTGTTCAACCATGAATGCCTCACTATCACTAGCAAGTTGGCCCATGTGTGATAATCCTCGACCGCGTATCATCTGAAACGACATACGCAGAAAACTATGCACCCAAATATAATCCAACCAATTTACTTCATAAAAAAAAATCAGTGCTACCTGAGGTGAAGTGAAGATTACGGGCTGGCTACGCATACTCCTTCCTGTATTTCTACGAATTATTCGCGACCTCTGACTAACACCTGATAAACGACCCACGAGGCGTGATCCGACAACTGCTGCTTGTCTGCGTGCACGTCCTCTTACCTGAAAGTAAAAGTTCCCCACTACTGAACCCCTTAGTTCCAATAATGCATCCTTATAAAACTGCCGTACATTTCATAAAAACACCTTGAATCTTGGAAAACAAGGATATTTTCTACTCTTCACACAAAGTGCGATGCATGCCACAACAATGAAAATGATGAGAAAAAGCAATGAATCAAAAGGCTTTCATTTCGTTCAAAACTCATCAACAACGAACAAAAAACTTCACCGGATGATCGTCATACCGTTCGGTTCGATCGGTAACTTTTTTTCTAAAATCACTGTTCGTCTGGTGTGTACAGTATAGTAAATGGCGATGATCACTCAAATTCCATAGAATTTTCAAAACATCAACTCAAGAACTCATCAAAGACCATTCTTTCATGGTAATAATAGGGCTGGTTCAGTGCCTTTGTCATTCTGACGGCAAACCTCCTCCTCCAGCGGTTAAAGCTATGTGGTGTAAGAAGCTAAGCAATCGCCAACAAAACTCCATCAGAATGAGACGTATGGATCTGATGAAACACCATAGCACAATTCCTTTTTTAGTTCTTCAACAACAGTCCTCGACGTCATCTTTGTTCATAGCGCACTTTCCGTGCTGCTCTCATCAAACTGTCAATTGGCGATGATCATTTTTTAAATCACTGGGTTCCAATTATTTAGCAGCACATTACAACGCAGCCGGGCCCTGTGTGAAGAGCGCTTTCCAACTCATTTGCAGCCCATACAAAAAGAGGAATGGCAGCTGAACATACGGCTGGTCTCACAGCAGAATTCCGTCGAAGAGCGCGACGACGCAATGTCACCGCACGATTTATAAGTGACTGATTGACTCGTCGTCGAATCGCTTTCTGAAATATGACAATAAATTAAAATACGCGAGCGAAATTCGATATTATACAAAGTCATATTTGGTACAAGAACTGAGAGCTATTGATAAATGCAATAAGACAGAGCATAAATTAACACACCAAGACGACCAAGAGGAAAATACCTTAACAAGTCGATTGACAACTTTCATTGCAGCTATTGTGGACACACCATGATTTACAGCAGTTTGTTGGCGGTTTCGACGTGTAATTGAACGCGCGACAATTGGTCGATTGCCCTAAACGCATTCCAATATTTTATCTTAGCAAAGCCAATGACATAGATTGCGTACATAAAACAAAACTTTTGTTTTGTTTGTAATACAAAACTCACTCCCCTAAATACAGCTGCATAATAAGCGACAGTATACATAATGACTAACAGTGGTCAGCAAAAATTTATAGCCAATGTAAAAAGTACACTGAAACCAGAAATTACTCTGTTAATGCGCTTTGCAAGCACACGCTTTCTTACTGCCCTTTGCACACTATTATCCTGTTGTCGCTGCTTCGCTTTACGTTCTTTTTTGATTATATCATCTGTAAGATAAAAGTTATATTAGAAAACTAACCAAAAAATACAAATGGAAAATCAAAGAATGCAATAAATTTGGAATCCTGAAGAACAAAATATTGCAACGTGATCCAACATAAAATAGATTGATTCTATAATGCTGAGTAAACAAGTTCACTGAAAATCGCGAAAAATGTAAGAAAAGTTGATGAACTTGAGAATCTTTTAAAATCACGAAAATCAAAATAAATCATTAGCATCAGAATAATAAATTTATTAAAACTAACCTAACGACATATTAAGTTTGTTATCAACAGCACTGCCATCCATTGTTCAATACGAATAGCTTTCAAAAATTAATAATTGATAACGTCTGTTCGCTGTATAGCTTTAACGTGTGCTTCACAATAAAATCTTAGTTCGTGACAAATAAAAGAACAAAGAATGAGATCCCGACAATTCCCTGCAAACAGATTTCAACCAAAATGAATGGCCTTCTATATTCTTATGATTTCAAAACAACTAATGCGAATAACATTCCGTGTCGATTCGCTACGAACAGGATTGCTTTTGGGATAAGATACATTAAACAATAATATTCTACTATATCTTGGCTTATCTTGGTTTGGATGGAACAAAAAAAGACTGCTGAGGAATAGAAATCGCAAAAAAGCTAAAACAATATACAGAAGTACTGAAAGTCACGCACATACCCTCACTTAAACCACGTAATCCACGCCTCACAACCCACACAAATACAACCCGCAAATAAGCGAGCACAACGGAACGAAGCCAAGCCAACGAATGACAATGACATGGGCAAGCACAGAAAATATCGATCGGAAGACATGTTTTCGTTCTAAAACAACGGTTGGAAATCTTCCAATATCAATGAGAATCTCTATTTTTCTTTGTTCTTCTATGTTTACACATTTTCTAACTCATCTTTAACGTCTAACTGAAGACAGCTGTTAAACCACGATATTCCTTTTCTGTCTGGTAATTCGCCCTGCCACTGTGGTGACGTGTGTTATTAGGATGCTACTACTGCTTGCTAGCCAGACACAGAGAGGGTTGCGGAAAATAAAGCGGAGGTGCGGATGTACGTTGCGTTCGGAAAAAGTGGGTGGTCATTTGAAGTGTAAAAATCACATGGAATAAGATGTGATTTTCCCGAAAAACTTCGAAGCTAAAATTAATTTTCAATATGTTTCACTTGTTGATGCTATCTTGTTGTATCATGTCTTCTGGTCACATTGAGAATTTTTCTTTTAATTGCTTTATCATTTTACGGAAAAATCTTTTCTTTTAAAGTAGCTGAATACTTCATAGGCTGCTTAAAGCAGTTATAGATTTCGTATAGGATGATGAGTTTATGGAAACGAAAATAAGTGGGACCGTTATATCTTGATTAAATTAATTATTAGTTGAATATTAGTATCAGTTAAATATTAATTTCTTCCAATACGCATATCGGGGCAGCCGACAGCGTTACGGACCTATATAATCTTCAAAATTAATTGCTTTACTATAACCTTCTAATCAAAATTTCTGGCTTTTAATTTTTTTATGCTTCGTTCATCGGAGATACTGAAACATATGAGCATCTACACATATTTCGATGAAAAGCATGAGATATTAACTCGCTCATAAATTAAAATAGAATATTCAGCGACTGAAATTTTACATACTTTTACATTACTGTGTCACTAATTATCAATTATGGGTTAGATTCTCGGCGTAGGTATAGCGTAGCAATAGTTAAATTACTGTCTGCCGTAAAGCGGTGGTGGAGCGAATGGTTTCAGAAAATTGGTTTTGGTGAACATTTCAGAGACCTTGGTGTGATGAAATATTAACTTTAGTTACCTTTCTGGTAGGAAATGGTGGGTTATGATTGTCCTGGAAAGTTATAAATCATGTTTCCGAGACATATGGGTATCCTTTTTTGTCCACGATATTTGATATCTTTCACTTGCATGATGTGCGAGGTTATTATAAAAGTTTTACTTTCGTTTAATAAAAAGTTAAAGCTGAGATAAAGTTGAATAAGATTCGACTGAAGCAGAAATCTTTGTCGACATATTTTATATAAATTGGTAATTGGTAATCCATCAAGATATCATATTTTCTTTATTACAATTGCTTGCCTGTTATGATAATAATGAATTTCAGTTAAAATACATTTTTCAGATATAATATTTATAACAAAAAATTGCAGTCATGCCGTCTAAAGTAAGTCTATTTTTTCGATAAGTAGTTTGAGATTTCTTTATAGTTAAATCTTGAGAAGGAAGTAACACTTATTTCTTTCTTTACTTTCATCTTTTTTTTGTTTGCTTTAATTGTTTGTCTATCGTATAACTTTTAATTAATTTATGGATTGTTTTTTTTTTTTACATTTGAGACATGAGAGATTGACTGAGCTAACATAATTAGTTATGTACTATAAATTAGTAAGCCTGAATTGATATCTGTAACATACAGTACTGTGAAGACCGATGTTCTACGTGTGGTGTTTTTTTTTTTTCAGAATTCGCAGAATAGTGGAACAACTTCTAAAACAGTGTTAGATAAATCTTATGATCAACTGCGAGTCAATAAATGGGATGGACCAAGCGTAAGAAACACAATTGACGATGCAATTAGGAAGGTTAAAATTAGCATAAGTTTTTGAAAAATTACTGAATTTTCCGAAGAGTATCATTTAATAATGAGCTCATCCTCGAAAACAATTTGTTCGCAATTTTTAGAAAAATTTAGATTTTCAATGAAAAATATGATAATTGGAGTGAACGACATACGCTGGCAGATGGGCGACTAATAATATCTACTGTTGCTGTTGCTCTTGCTGCTGTCGGTCTCATATATGATTATAATGAGCCATTTCCAAAATCTAAGCCGGTGATTTTTTCAAGTTCGATATAATATATATTTACATTTGCACTTAAATTCTTTACAATTTTTTATTGTTGCTGCAATAAAAAACCGTAAAGAATTTATGTGTGAATTATATTTGGAACACCGATCATTCATTTCTTATTTTTTGTTTTTTATAATATAAAATAAGTTCATGGAAATTTTAGGTGCTTGCAACATGTTCCATTACATATTTCATATTAATGGGTGTTTTACAACTGTATCAATGGTATGTTGAAAAAGGTACTTTCTATCAAGGCATAGAAATGGATCCAAGCGGACGAACTCCTAAAAGATATTGGAAATGGTCATCATCGATCAAAAAGTTGGTTTTTTATTGTCAAACAATCTTTATTGATCTATGTAAAATTTCGGTAATTGGATAAAACGTTTGATGTCGTTGTTTGCCGATTTTACAGATACGATGACAAATATACTCTGGAAGCAGAATATATGCAAGAATCGCGTACAGGATATATTAAAGTAAGCTTTTTTATCAAATTGTAAATATATAGTATAATCCATGATAATATTTTGTCACAAACTTGTCCGCTAACGATATGCTCTTAATTTAGTACAATTAAGTGTAGTAGTGAGCCGAAAATGAAATATAAAACTAATGCAGTTTTATATGAATAGTTTATGGAAATGTTACATAAATTATTCATATACTGATGTGTAAGAGTGTTAAAAGATGTAGCAAGTATAATTTGTTACCTCTTTTAATTCTTATTGGAAGTAGTACTATCGAATACTTCAGGTGCTGAAATCTATAGGAGCATTCATAGACGAAGAAGGTGTTATTGTTCTACCAATCCTGGAAAAAGAATTAGCACATATTATTAGCAGCGTATTGAGAAAAGACGGGTGATCAAAAGCGATGACTTTGATGATACCTGCATTCAGTTGTTTTGTTGCATTACAGTTTTATTATTTTTGCTTCTTGAAAAGAATAACTTTTTATTCGAAGCCTATGTATTTGAAAGATTTAGAGAGAACTGTTTTTTCAGAGACAAATCAGCATTCGGTTTACCATCTAACATTCAGCAAGTCTCTTTTGTTTATCTGTAAATTTTTTTTTTGGGATTTCAAGAGGAAAGAATTCTTGTTATTTATATAGGATATTTTTATTTTTCGGTATAGTTAGATAGGTTATGTTGCTGTTTTTTAATAAATATGTGATAGCACACCTCTCAGTTGTCAGATAATCTTTTTACAATGAGCAGCTTTGATTTCAGTCCATCGAAATGCTCTATTTTATCAAAAAATTTTTTCGAAGTCTTATTTCTAAAAATCCGAAGAGGAATGTAGACAAGCTTATGCGTTCCACTTGGTTACTCGTTTTTCTTGAGGGGTGGAAAGTATTTATTTTATTTTCTTCATTTTGATTGTTTTTCTTCAAATAAAACTATTTAAAGCTGCAATGTATTGTCTTTTGTTTAAAAAGCTACCACTATGATTTTGAAATATATTTTTTATTGCTGTCTTTTAGATGCTTATTTTTAATTTTACTCTAATCTTTTCTGCCCACTTCGATTTTATAGGTAAATTTTTATCTTAACTGTGCTATAGCTAAATAATAGTATCAATTACCGTGCATATTTTCATCCGTTGCAACTGTGAAGAATTTATTTGAAATTAAAAAATCTCCAAAAATTTTTAGTAATAGTAAAATATGTGATGTTAGCTTATCCATAAACTTATGGATGTTGTTGTTCGTATGCGTTTGAGGCATGTACTTCGTGTAAAATATCTACATACGTATACTGACATTAACCTATAAGGAAAGTGTTGGCGATTTGCTCCTTTTGCAGGTGAGTTTTTCTTTAATGTTGTTTTCTGGCTGTACGGTACATTGAGTTCATTCCTTTTAACACTTATCATCCTCGTTTTACAGTTAAATTGTTTATTTTCAGGTGCTTTGAATGTGAAAATTTGTTCCATTCGAATTTGTGGGTTGATATTTAGTATCCTAGTAGTTGGTGAAGTCGTGATAAACGCGGTAGATTTTTTGAATCCCGCTGTTCAGCATTGCAACAGTGGAAACAGTGTAATGCCAAATAATGTTCAGAATGTGATTAATGGTGGCCATCAGAATGTTGCTAGCACATCTGGTTTGCATCTCTCATTTTTATTGGGCACTCCTATGATTTTTTAAAAATAATTTTTCGAACATTGAAACTATTCATCATCTTATGTACCGGTTTTTGTTTTTAGAATGGCATTATGTGCCGGATAAATTGTTCATTGATCCGTAGTTCGTTAAGCTTTTAGTCGCTATGTAATTGGAACCTAGTGGACAATGAAATATGTTGACAGTTTAAGTAATAGTGGGGTTTCTCAATATGACGGACGTAATAATTTATAGAAGGAAATTCACACTGCTTTGAAAAGAAATTCCGATAAAGCCAAGATAATCGAAATCCTTATAGATACTAGCTAGACACCGACATGCATATTTGGTTTTGTGAAGTATTAAATTTCTTGATTTCTTTAGAATTTTATTTATTTAATTCACTTTCTTGAACTTACGCTGTTAATAGGTACAACAAATACGCACACCAGCAGTTCTGGAGCAGCAATTGTGGGTGCGGAATACGGAATTTCATATGTTAAGGTGATTTTTCGTTTTACTAATGCTTCTTTCTGCTGCACAACTTACTAAATTTTTGTTGTTTTTTTATGTTATTGGATAAATCTCTTTTGCTTTTTCTTCTTTTTGCTTGTGCAAACTTGAGTCGAGCATTGATTCGTTTTTTTTTTTAAGTAAATTTAACTATGAAGTCCAGACGTAAATTCTAGGTAGTGGCGGAATCCGTTGGCGTAGCATCGCTCCCCGATGTTTGCGCATCTCAAATAGCAGTTCAAACGACATATGCGGTGAAGGTAGGAGTATGTACTCTCAAAAACATATACATACATAATTATCGATTTTGCTTCCGCAATGGTTTTGGTTTTTTGGCAGCTGTAGACATGATGAGTTTCATTTTCAGATGGTAATTGAACAAGCAAAGAAATTCACTGTGCACGGCCGTCGTAAGCGCGTCACAGCGGAGGATATCGATTCAGCATTTACAATGTCTGGCTATCCGGTATTAAATTAAATAGTTTTAGAATTTGAAAAACTATATACTTTTTGATATTCGATAAACATTTTTTTTCTATTTCGAAACTTATTTAATGCAATTTTATAAAGAATTGCAAAGGGAGGCCACCTACTCTTCATTTCTGTCCCAAGTCTGGAAACTTTAGTAAGTGATATTTAGATGAATCATTTTAATGTGATTAATGTGATGCGCGATTTAAGCTTGTTCGCCTCTCCGATATACTTCTGGTTCCATTATATTGATTGCTAAATGTTTTTTTTTTGAAGAAGTTTGAATTTCTCTTTCATGAAAAAAAGCATGATAAGAGAGAAATAAATGATATATGATCAAATACACTGCTCTAGCCTTTATTTGGTTTCACTGTGAAAGAAGGACTACCTTTTCGTTTTGCTGGATCATTGGGACGTGACTTGTTTATTACGGATGATCGCGATGTCGAAATCACACCAGTAGTTAATGCGCCTGCAGCTAAATTACCTCTTGAAACCAATATTAAATGCTAGTTTTTAATAGATTTTGATTTTATTTTCTTACAGTCCAAGTTCTTTTTTCGGTAATTTCAAGTCTGTTTGTTTTTTTATGAACTGCAAGAAACTGTTTAAATCATCTTGTGTCAGTTATCTAGATGTTTCTTTTATCCTTTCTTTTTTTCAAATCATTTTATTGTGGCGTGCGAACTAGTTTTCAGCAAGGCTTGTGCAATAAATTCACATGTCAGCGTCTCCTTGTTTCAGCTCACTGGTTAGTGATTGATGGTGTGCAACCAGCTGTACCGGAGAATCCAGCTCCTGTGATGGAAACAGAAGCGCCAATAACGGTTGCTACCGAAAGAGCAGCAATTGATACGGGTCTATCAATATTATCAAAGGCACATAGAAGCCTACGACAAACTGAACAAGTACAAATCAAAACAACATCTACACACGCACTCTCTGTGGTCCGTTTTTGCTGTAGAGTTATTCACTTACTGTTTATATGTTTCGTGGTATCTTAGTATTATCTACAATGTAAAAAAGGTATATATACATATATATAATTTAATAGTCCATATGTCAGCATGTGCAATTTATATTTTTTGAAAGTTTTCTCTGATATCATAGAAGAGAGGCTAAATGGGATGAATTATTGCTACTTGTTTTTTTCTTTCTTTTTTATTCTTTTGGGTGTACAAAAAACTACGTCATATTTCCCATGCTCATTAGAGTTTTCGTATTCTATGATTTTTGCAAACCTGGCTTAGTGGAAGTTAGGTTTTATGTGGCTGATTTTAATGTCTTTATAATTAATTTTTCTATGGTAGACTTTCATTTCACATTAATCTCATTTCCGTCAGACACAAGCTTAATTTCTTTCAGGAGCAGCAGGTATTCTTTAAAGAAATCACCGAGGCTATTATGGGCAGTGATGATACAAGAAGGACGGTACGTTTAATTCTATGTATTTCATTTGATATTATGAGAAGTTTGGATAAGAAATGACCAATGATGGTGAAGTGAAACTTCAACACATTTATGAAGCATATATTTCCATCTTAATATTAAGTGAGACATTGAGTTATTGAGATTGAAGTAGTTTTAATATCGTGTAACATTGTTCGTAAAGGTATTTTTATTTTCTACCTAGCATGATATTTCGAATTGATAATTCCATTCCTGTGATTCTTTGGTTATCAATCGTTGATTTGCAGGAAGCACTGTACAGCCTCCAAACAGATGCGGGTTTGCAACAATTACTACCTAGGTTTTCTGTGGCAATCGTTGAAGGAGTTGGTTGTTTGTTCATTTCTTTATCCTGCAATTTGTTTAATATTTTTTATGTAAACGATCTTGCATCGCTTATATCTTATGATTTCATCTGTTTTACTGTATTTTTAAAATTAAGGTTCGGTGCAATATTGTGCAGCACAATCTGGCTATTCTGATATATTTGATGAGGATGATCCAGAGTTTGGCAAATAATCCAGCACTGTCGTTGGAACGTTGTGTCAGTTACCATTATTTTTTTCTTTTGGCGGTTTGTAATTTATAACATTTAAAAGAGAATGAACTAACGAATTGTATGAGAGATGAGATATACTGGATGATCAATGAGTATTGACCAATCAGACAATAATATTTCTTGGTGATGGATTTTTTTTCTTGAGGCTAATTTATTTGTCTTTTCTAATTATTTGAATTATCGATCATGGAGTTTACAGCTGCATGAGTTGTTACCTTCTGTACTGTCCTGCATATTAAGCCGGCAGTTATGTGCTCGCCCAGAAACAGACAATCATTGGGCATTACGAGAGTTTTCTAGTCGTTTGTTAGCCAATATGTGCAGGTAGGTTTTTATACATGTTGTACGGAAGAAAATTAAAGTTGTTTAGAAGTATTACTCTGGCTATTAAAATGTGTTGATTTTTTTATAATTTTATCATAAATCAAAAAGCTCTGCAAACGTTTTTCTCTAACTATTACATGAAAAGAATTTATACTAAAGTAGAAGTTTTCAGGTCGTACAACATCAGCCATCTACGGTCGCGTGTAACTCAAGTGCTTGCCCAAGTTTGGCGTGATGAAAATTGTACACTTGCGGCATTGTACGGATCATTGTACGCTCTGAACGAGCTAGGCGTTGACGTACTCATTTTTATTATAAAATTTTTATTAGAAGTGATATATAAACATTTAAAACTATATTTCTCAACAATGACACCAGTTACATAGTACTTTTAAATTATGTAATCATTATTGTATTTCATTGTCATTCTTAACTTTCTTGCATTTTACCAAATAGGAAAGGCATATGTTATCAAGTTCACAAAACATTTTTAGTATATGCATAATAATTAGGCTCAAATTCTTATCTTTTATGTTATATTATTCAAATGTTCAGATTTGTTGCAGACTGTACATTCTGTAGTGATACCTCGAGCTGCTCAATTGCATAACGATCTTCGGAAGATAATGTCGGACAAACCGAACATAGTTGACAAATTAGCCGCCGAAAAACTTCAAAATTTTGTCATCGTAAGTTTACTTTATTGTTGATTTTTTAGAAATTTCATAGAAAGACTTTCAACAGGAATTGATTTTCTGCTTACTCTATCAATTTGTTCTACACTTTCATTTAAAAAGTTCGTGTTTTAAAGAAAGTATTGGTACATTTCGTAAAAACTCAAAAACCAGTTGGACTGAAAGAAGTTGCGGACTATCAAAACATGTTTGGAGGATTTGGCGAAGCTGTGTACAAGTATGTTATGGACTTACATTGGCAGTTTCTAATTTTTCCTAAAATTTCGCGTTTTAAATATTAGTGATGGTCACTATCTTTGTTAATGTAGTTCGAAAAGCATATGTCATAATAAATCCCAGAACCTTTCCTAAAGAATTATCACAGAGCTGTTTTACAGAGCCGTAACAAATGAACATTTATCAATAGTATCTGCCAGTGCATCAGCAAATAACAACAATGTGCATTCTGGTGTTCTTCACAGATCTGGAAGTGATCGGAGGCCGGCTGTGTCCGTTGTTAGTGTATACTTCCATTCATTAAGGCTTTTGTAGGAGAGGAGGTAAAGATTGTTGCAGATTAAATTTTATTCGTTCATTTATTCTATTAGCTACAAACCGCTTCAGCAACAGCAGCAGCAGCGTTTGATGATAGGTACAAAGCAACCTGTGACTTCTTTATCTAATTCACCACTTTATGTGGTCCGTCCACAGAGCTCGCCGGTACCTGTTCGAAATTCTACCCAGCAACCGTATGTTAACATTATTAGTGGTGGGCGTTTGCAACAATCAACTCCGGTATTGAGTCGTTCAGCGCAACAAAGTACATATTATGTTTCCAGTGGAACAAACTCACCAGTATGTCGTTTTGTTTACTTTTTTGCTTCAGCACCTCGTTGCTTTCTTTCGGCATACGAGGAGCTATAATCAGGCTTTTCCTTCCCTTACATTATTATAGCTTTAGCATTAGATTCCAAGTACCAAGTTTTTATCAGTTTCAGCGTTGATAATATTGGTTAAGTTTTTTATCAGTTGTTATCAAAACAGTAGGTTTTAAGCAAAAATCTTTTTGTTTTGGCTTATTTATATTAGTTATTGTTAATTGTGAAAATTTGTATAGCTCTTATCAAATTTCAATCGCAATTTGCTTATTGGCTGAAAATGGCACACATCGAAATATACTTGGATTTATCAACAAAATTTAGTTTGATTGACATCGAAATTTGTAGGTAATATTGGATCCAGATTTTTATAAATTGAGGCAGGTATTTTTTAGACGAATTCCTATGTTGTTCGACCAAGTGGATATAAGAAAATGATTGTAACAAGCCAGCGTGGTACTTCCAGCTCTACGAATGACAGTTTTAGAAATTCATGAATGGCATTATACTTTTTTTTGTTACCAAATTACCTCTTATGTTGGAGGATTGGAGAAACAGCCGATCTCAGGTTCTTTTTTTTTCTATTTTTTTATTCGCTGATAAGCTCAGAGAGAGTTTTATAAATGTTGTTTTAGTTTCATGTTTCATTGGTTGCTGAGTAATATAAATGAGCAACATATACACTTGTGTTATATTTGTATCTCCATTCAATGTCTCTTTGGTCTTGTCATGCTAATGTCAGTTGGGTTTGCTTTAAAAAAAAAAAACTTAAATTAGATCGTTCGGGATTTCAGGATCAGATGTATGTAGTTCAACCTTTTAATTACCGAAAAATGTGATTTAGATTTAAATCATTCCTGTAGTGTTGGCTAGAATGGTATTTGGATCTTCCATATTTCTGCTTCCTGATACTAAAAAAATTTTCCATATTCACTGATTTTAATCGAAGACGTGATTTGGGAATTTGTTTTCTTTAGTACATTTACTGCTTTTTTATTAAATTTCTGTTTGAGCGATTGGTAAGGCGATGAAGATCCTGCTATTTTCCGCATTGTTTCTTTCTTCTGTAGGAAATGTACAGCGATTATCGGTAAATCGGCAAAAGATTAGTTACAACGATCAGTTCTTAATTAGTTTTTAAATATATGAGCGATATTTTGCTTGAGAGACCTGTTTCATAGACGTTATAATTAACTAACTTCCAGACATAGTGTATTTCAGCAGGCATTTATGATCTCAGAATCCAGTACGTTATTTTGAGCTAAAAAAAGCTCTTTCTCTAGTCTCCACTAAAGTACCTGTTTTTTATTTCAGTAGCACTAAATAAGATCAGGAATATATTTAAAAGTGCTAAGTGTTTTTTCACAATAGATGTGAGGAAGCAGAAAAAAATTGCTACTAAATAAAACAGGAAAAGAAATGACTTCGATGGAATAAGTATACTGAAAAAAATGATTTAGATTGTGATGTGCTTAGTTGAAATAAAGATATTAGTACTATCTTCTGTTTAAAAATTGGATTGTATGATAAACGAAAAATCTCTGCAGATATGAAGCAGTTATTTGTATCATATTTTCACTATTTCTATTGGATACTTACTTTTACATCATTTTGTTTTGTTAGAATACGTGCTTATTTTTAATTATATGATCGATTAATATTCAAATGCTCACCTGCAACACTGTTATTTTAGTGTTTTAATGCAAAAAAGACATATTCAGGATTAATTCTAGATCGAATATCGTCTCTTTGTTTATAATATTTGACTAAGTAGTTGAGTATTTATTGAAATCTAGAAATTGCTGATGAGCTATATGTCACCTTGCTGCTATAGTGACAGAAAGCGAAGGATAAAGAGAGTATACAGATTGAAATTTTTTGTGGTAGATTTTGTTTGATCAGCAGGATTACTTCTGTTTTTCTTCGGAAAAATCCTGAATGTGTCATTGGTTACCTCATTTGATGAAGAGGGACATATATGGCACATATTTATTTTTTTAGTACGCGGAAGAGCTGGGATCAGCGAAATTTCTTCGTCTTTTGAAATAAGCATTCCTTTTCATGTCGGTTAGGCAAGGGAACTTTTTTTTTGGAAATGCTTTTACACACGTTTTCTAGGAAATGCTGATTCCAGCATGAAAACGGGGAGAAGACGAAATTTGAAATTGTTTACCTCTGCGTTTGTGAGGAACTTGGAATTGTATACCTGAAATTATGTTGGTGAATGCAGTGTTTTCACTGTTACATGTTGTTGATTCTGTGTTTTTGCTCAAGGGATGGATGATATTGTACATTTACATAATGTGCCAGATCTGCTGCTCATTACGCCAAAAATAGGTTTGCTGTTCCACTCGCCAAAACATATTCTTAGTTTTAATAGTTACAATGAATGGCTATTTAGTAATATATATTAATCATATTGAGATCATCTAAAACTTACTGATGCACGTTCAGTTTCATTTTCTTTTAATTCGGTTCGGTAGTTATATTAATTTTCAATTCTTTTTAAAGCATTAATTTTTTTTTAGTTCTTACGAATTTTCGGCTGGTTTTTTTCTGTGATAGAAATGTTTTCATCTGAACTTAATTTTTATGTAGTGTGCATGTAACGGAAAAAATATCAAAAAGATTGTGTTTCGAGAAATACTTGCATTGATTAAAATTTTTTTACAGCTCCATGAAAATATTCTTTTTAAAACTGTTAGTACTGTTTTTTATAATTTAATAAATTCTTGTTTAGGAAGGAATTGGAACCTATCTTAGGATACTCTCATCTTTCAGCACACTATCATGTTGGTTGTTTGTTTATTTTATATACAAATGGTTATTCTTCATTTAATGAACATGAACACTATGCCATGCATAAACATATGGATCTTTTTTTGAGTGTTTTGAAATGAAGTTCTAAATACTTAAATTGTCTTCACAGATAGGACGTTATCCAAACGTCTTCACTGATTATGAACGCTATCAAAGAATTCTTTTAGCGGAAAACCGATCGATAAAATATCATTCTTATAGTTTTTTGGGAGTGGATATAATATTCTAGTGTTATGGAAGTGAGTAAATAGCGGATGTCAAAGGGAAAAAAATCGGTAATCAGTATCCACTGCATCTTTACCGACCATATTTTCTTTCAAATTCCTACTTTCATGCTGTTGAAGTGTTTTGTTTGTCACGAAAGCGCTAATTCTGTTGCATAGACTCATTCATCTAAATTTCGGACGCTGCTCGACCCTGAACCAAAATTTCGAAGTTACATCGAGTCCTGCCTTGCTTGCTGATTTTACAACTTCAATCAGGTTATCCATCCATCCAATCAAATGTTTGCAGAATATTCATGAAAATTTTGGTGTATATTGGGAAATGGTGTCATATCGGTCTACCGAATTCAAGCTTTCCAAAAAAATATGCTTCTTTAAGCACAAAATAACATTAAGCGATGAAGGAATAGTAATCACCTCTCATTTGCAAGCATGTCTTATTTTTTTAAACTTGGATTTTTATCCTATTTTGGATTTCTCCCTCAATAAACAGATAAATTTAAATAAAATAGTTTTTGGCGGTGCTAATATTCTAAATATCTTTTAGCAGGATGAGGAAAAATCTAATTTTCTTCATAAATGGATGTCACTTCAACAGTTTTGCCTGAATAGATGCAGTTTATTTGCCGATTGATTAAAACGAATAGGTTGTCTCGAAAATAGAAAAATGAGATCCGTTTGTTGTGAAATGAAAAAGAAAGGTTATTTATGAAAGGAATAAAGGAAAAAATAGTCTTGAACATATTCATCTACATTTGACTAAATTCTAACGGATACTTATCATAAAAGGAGTGCTTTATCAACAGCAGTATTTTATCGGCAATGCATTCATTTCTTTTATTTATAATAATTATAGCACAATGGAATAAGAAAATCTTATTTACAGCTAAGCGGACTATCGATGTTGCGTGTTGTGTCGTACGCATTCTCACTATTTCCATGCGTAACAACTCTTAAGAAGTTATTTATTTCCACAGTTTTTCCAATTTGCAATTTTCTTGCTATATTATTGTCCGTGCAATTGCGTTGATTCAATCAATGGATTCATAGTCCTATCATCAATCTCATCGAATCTTTCCATCTTTCTTACTGTGTAGAATGGAATACCATGTGTATTTGTGTATTTCGCATAAATTTGTGAATACATCAAAGCAAAGCCCAGAATTGTGATTAATTTTGGATTTAAATAATTCTTTTTGAGAAACTGCATACAAGTATTATTTAGTTCACGCAAGGCTCATGCAAGGCTGAAATCTCCAAGATGTAAAATCTGGTCTTGATTCGTTCAGGTTTTCTTTCAACAGATTGTTCGTCTCTTCTTTATTTATTCCTTATCACACAAAGCCATTTACTGTGTAGGCCAAAGTAACTATCTGCTGCACTGCTGGCTTACTTTGTGTCGCTGAAAGCAAAATAAATTGAAAGCACTGATATAAGTCCTTCAAATTTCTCAGACTATTGTTTACTTGATTCATCTAACTTCCCTGGTTCAATCTTTGGCGTTTTAGATGATCATGAGAAGTTAATTCTAAATCTTTTATTGGTGCTACCCAGATCCCTCCGTTGATCAGAAATAATTTCCTCTGAGAATGAGATTCTAAAGCAAAAAGCCAATGATGCTCACAAATTCTTCTGTTTCTAGTAAACAAATGCTGATTGTTTCAGAAGTCTATCATTACTAAGTGGTATGCGAGTCACGATGTGAAATCTCGCAAGTAATCTACAGCAACGAGTTACAGTTACGCAGAATACTTTTCATTTATAGAAGGAGGAGGTCGTTATGTAGCATCTGCTTGTTTTTTTATTCCACCTTTATAGCTTCTCTTCCTCAACGTCCTCCATAAGTAATATTACTACTTGCTTTTTTCTTTTCCACATGTTTCTTCTGTTCTAATGACGCAACGAGTAACCAATGGTACTATGAAATAGTTCTCCGTTCAAAAGGATTTCAAGAGAACGGTGATTTCGTCATTTGCACCATAAATCAATGACTGTTGGTGTTGCACAAATTATCAGTGTATAAGCTTATCATTATAGTGGAGAGACCTATTCTTGCAACAATACTTATTGCCACTCGACATAAAAGATATCGACTATTCTGAAATCTCAACTTCTTCCTTCCATAAAATTCGTAAAATTTCGTGGCAAGAAATAAAATTGAGATATTGTATTTGATGCTGCCGTATCATCATATCAATTGTTTAAGGAAGCGAAGCTTTTTTCGAAAAGTAAAATGATCGGTTGAGAAACAAGCAAGGATTTTGACCCGACCTTGACTGTTGCATAAAATAACATGATAATATAGAAAATTGCAATAATCAATGTCGTTCCTTCCGCCTTTTCCTCATTGTACAAAATAAATAATTCCTAGAAAAACTGAAATTCTTAAACTTTCTCGGAACTTGAATTGCTTTGTTAATTTGCCAATAAGAAGCTAAAAGAAGATAGAAAATGATTGTTGTTCTGGCGACACCATACATATGGAATTACTTCGTATAATAAGTAGCAGAGATCTTTTCCTTAATCAGATCAATCCCGGGAAGAATAGCAATAGGAAGTACAGGATCGGATGATCACCAATACAGAGAGTTCACAGTAATTGCTCCGTGGATCACCACTGTTGACAGGTAAATTTGGTTTTGTTATCAGGTAATTTCGGCCGCATCATGTGATCACAGAGGCGCCTCTATGAAACATTTCAGAATATATCTCCTGTTCAACATCTCTGCTTATGCTTTTTATTTTTCCCACTAAAAATCAACATTGAGAAAAAACATGCGGTGCTCGAATGAACAAAAATAGTCATTACCACCCAACCTGAATATTTAATTCTTGACAAAAAATAATAACTAAATGCACTGCTAATACAGCTGCAGACAATCCCTTAAAAATTTAATAACACCAATTATATTCAATAAACAGATTTCCTTGCCGCATAATAATTGAAATGCAATATTTTTAATTCTCTAGATTCAGTTTTAAATATTCCATTAAGCAATCTATCCAAAGCCAATGAAACTACTTGACAAAACTACTAAACATAACCAGCTAGAGATGAATTTGATATAAAAGCTTGTAATTCAACTTCATGCTTTGTGTTTTAGCATTATAATGAAATGTTTTTTTCACAAAATTGGTAGCATAGAAATGCAATTATCACACACTTCAATATGAGAGATAGCATCATATATGACAAAAAGCAATATAGAATCCGCACTAACCACTTTTTCAGACAAGATAATATAGAATCCCCTTCATCACTTTTTTGGACAAGAAAGTTATGCTGGATCTTGGAAGGGTTATGCATCCATGCAAAAAATATAGCGGATATTGATTCTTCTATCAGTTTCTACATTAGGAAATATAAATTAACAAAAATGTTAATGAGCTTGTTAATTCGTATTTTCTTTGTTAATTTATAACAACCACATATGGAAATTGATGTTTTTTTTACTGTGTCAAATAAGTTTTTTTTTATTCCAAATTGTGAATGATACAGTACATGACAGAATGAAAAAATACTTGGTAAAATGTATGCATTTACGCTTTCCCAAAAATGATAAAATGCCTGAATGGACAAAAGTAATACAAATTTCAATTTCTAATTAATTAGAGAAACTAGTATCTGAATCTTTTACTCAGAAGTAACTTATCGGTGCTGATTTATCCAATACTATTTACTTTCTCTATAAGATACAAATCGAATAATTTAGTCACTCTTTATATGATTCAGTGTCAATCAATCTTCCAAGCATATCAAGAAAGAAGATATCCGAGACAGAATCGGTCGAATTTGGTCCTCACCAATATAATCCGAGTCCCATATATTTAATAAATAACTGAAAAATTCTCTTATAAAATAGATAAAACAAGACCATACAGAAAATCTTCATACTTCGATATAAAAAAATTTTAATTCAGCGCACATCATTATTATACAGTAAACTGAACCATGAATTAAACATGAAATATTTTTAAGGTGGAATTAATCATTAGAAAAAGGAAGTATTTATTTTAAGCTAAAAACGTGCCTCATTCTCACCTAGATATCTCATCTTCACAGCTGGGGTATGCACCGAAGAATAAATTAATAGTCAGTAAAATGAGAGCGGAACGAAACGGCGAATGGTCGGGATCAGATAAACTATGCAAATATAACAGAGCATGTCCTCGCAGCTTGTCGATTCCTGAAAATTTCCAAACTACTGCTTCTCTGTCTCGAGTGCTTAATAAAATCAAACCGATAAGAAATCTTCCAAGAAGAAGACTATCTCTAGGTATTTACATAAACCTATATTTTTGTCTACGAGTTCCACTTCCCAGTTTCCGACTGCCTAATACTCAGTGTGATCAAAATATTCATTTTTCAAATTTTAGAATTTTTCCGGAAATTCACCATGTAAAACTACTGATTTACTGTATTTCGACAATGAATTTGTAACTTCACTTTCCAATAATCGACGTTCTTTGTATTCATTACAAAATATTCTATCAATTTCACCCTTTCCAGTGACATTGGAAAAAACATCACCAAGAGCATCGGCTAACATATCAGCCTTTATACCCGCAATTAATACGACATATGGTTCGACTGGTTTCTGGAATTACATCACAACATTTCAAACTTTTAAATCCTCTTCATCAATGGAATTTAGAATTATCTGCTTTATTCAAAAATTTACAAAAACCTTTTTTAATTCCATGCAAAGTGGCACGTTTCCGCAATCTATTATTCAAAGTGAAACATTTAATGAAAAATCTTCTCATATGTGATATTCAAATAAGTGGGAAAGTCTAAAAAGACCCACCTGGTAGACCCATTTTTCACCAATAAGCAGCAAGACTGCCTTCGTATTAGTACCGTGTTCATATTCGTTAGTGAAATTTTTCTTCAAAATGCCATTTATCTGCTGCTTATATCTGTAAATAATAAATATAATGCATATATAGCAGCTGCACTTATATAAATCCAATTCTTCATAGAGATTAACATCTCGTGTTTATAAGGTTTATCAGCGCATCGCTACACTGCATAAAAAATAAAAGTTCACCTACCATAGAATGCATTTATGATGCTTAGCATTTCAAGCCATATCTCCTTCATACATCAAATATTAGAATAGCATAAAGCTAGTGTTACTATGAACATGAAAAATATAATCATGAAAAAAAAATCCCATCGGAACGTAATGTCAAGATTTGCTGACGTGACAGTTGAAAAGTACCTTTTCAGTGGAGCAGTTTCATTGCTTAAATTCGAGCATGAGTAATTAATAATAACGCAAGCAACAGCAACAACAATAACACCAAAGACGAGAATAATAAGCAACTGAAAGACAAATAATTAACCTAACACTTGCTTTTTGGTTTTTGTTTTAGGTGAATAAAAGTAAATCTCTTTGCCTTTGTGGTGTTGTTTGATTTTCAAGAATGGGTTAGGTTAATTAAGTTGCCAATAAATTACTGGCAAAATAACATTAACCACGTTTCAAGCATCACATCATCTATAAATTTCTACTGTTATACAGTCTTAATCTCAAACTTAATTTATTAAATCACTCAGTAATTTCTCAGACTGACCAATTCGACTTTTTATAGATGAGTGAACTTTATTGCAGTAAAAAACAGAAAAAAAGTTCCATTATATCTGACCCAAGGAGACAGATTTTGAATCCATTCCAATACTGCCAATGATGATGAACTATCAGGATTCCCTCCAAAATCATCACATTCTGTATGGTCTGACTCATATGACCTAGATGGAAATAATTTGCAGAATTGATTCGTTAAATAAAAAGTACAAAAAGCAGCAAACAAATTTCTAGGCTTGATTAGCTTTTTCAACTCATTTAGGGAAAGATTAGTCATTAGATATTGAAATAAGGAACAAGCATTTTACCTTTCCTTGACAAAAGAGGTAACTGTCTCAGTGCTCTAAATCATGTCCCACAAATGAAATGAGACTTGTTACCACATCTCTATGATATACTTCATTAAATGATAATTATAGATCCAAGTTCCAAATTAAACGGATTTTTAATCCACTGCCGTTAAGTTTGGATTTCAGTTTCAAAATGTCAAATGCATCTAAGCTGTTAGCAACTTACACATTACTATCGTCATCGTCTTCGTAGTCCAGATTTGGATACAGATTTTTTTGTCGATTTCGGTTCCGACATGATGGATATGAATTAACTGGGGCATAGAAATGCTGACTTCCTTTTCCAAACATACTTTTCGAACTGCTTCAAAATTCAAGTATCGTCGCTCTCGGGTACCTGACAAAAAAAGTAAACTGACTGAATAATAACAGCACTCGCATTACGATTTTCTTTTTTTTGTTTCTGTAGCATTCCGATTTGCAAGTATATTGTTTGATTGATAATAACATTTTCAGAAAATATAACTTACATAAAAAATCGGGATATCATGTCAATCGTTATTAAGATGAATCCTGAATGGACAAATCTTGACATCAGCTAAGAGTACTGCCGTATCTAAAGAAGTGCAATCAACTTCAGGTCCACGAAGGAGCGGACAACAACAGCAACCACCTGAATTAACCAAAACCTCTCGATGTTATCCAACTACCAAGGAGCGGTTTGCAAATTCGAGATCTCAAGACTGTAATTTTAGGTAGTAATAATGAAATTAATATTGTATTGTTGTGAGTTGGAGACCTTTATTTCGATGTAATCTGTATGTACTGAGCATTTTTCGGAGTTTCTGACAGATTTCTTTCGGATGACATGAAGAAACGGAATAGCACTTGAATGGTTGGCCGACTGGACATGTAAATGTAGACACGGATGAGAAAAAAATTCCGAGGAAACCACTTGCGATCAGGTCACCTTTGTCGTTAGTGATTTCAACAGCGCTAATGACAGTACTGAATGAAATCAATCGTTCTGTTCCAATCCAAACCTGTCGAAAATTCGAAATCAATTCATAACGAAAAATATTGCATTAAATTCATGAGAAATATTTTCATATAAAATTATTTTCGCAGTTAAATGATGTGTAGTTTTGTTTACGAAGAAACTTCGTAACGGATACAACTTAATCTCTCTGGCCATCAGATTATAATTTGACTGCAAAATTACCTATTGTTTATCCAGATTTATAAACATTTAAGAATACTAGTCAGCTTCATCCTAAAAAAACCGCCGTTCCCCTCAAGATTTAGGCGATTCATCATCATCCAACTAACTCAGATTTTGGTTGAGATTGGAGAGTGTTCATATTCACATTCCACTGATGTGGCTGTTCATCTTCACATGTGCATTCCGTATCGTCTTGTTCATATCGCTAACTGTCTATTCACCAGTCAACTACATCAGCAGCAGGCATGGTTTCTCACTACATCAAATTCAACAGTGTCTGGGACAAACATTCTGGACCGAGACCGATTTTAGCATCCAAGCGAACCTATCCTATCGTACTTCAACTCCCATCTCATAGAAACAACCCAAGAAAATCTCTCCAAAAGAAAAACTTCATCAACAAATTCAACTGTGCCACATAACAACAAAGCTAACAAACTCATTCATAATAAACCGCTCATTTGGCGGAAAGTTTGGAGGGGGAAGGAATTTAGTGATAAGTTCATTGACCAATGAGAAAGGAAGTGAGGTCATAGCTTTTGAAAAACTTTCCAATAGTTTGACATTTGCAGAGAATGAATCGACGTAAACTTAACAGTGACATCCATCCATCCATCCACCGATCGGCTTTGCGAGAATTTATTAGAAGCTAAAGGAGAATCGACCACTTCATAACTGCATTAATAAGTACAGGAACAATTCTGATTCCGGTTTCAGGCCGAATAAAGAGATGTGATTTTGACTGGCCAACTGGAATTATTTGCGAATCATCTCGGCAAAAGAGACAAGTAAATTATTTAAGAGTAGGAGAAGGTTGTAAAATTTCTCAAGTGATAACAGATCGCTATGCGACAAACTGTCTGTCTTACGAAGTCGCATAACCGATTATCAATTCACCATAATCGGTTTGATGCCGTGCTGTATCGAAATCATTTTGTCAGAACTACAGAATTCTGCCGTGCAGAGAAAATATAAGAAAGTTTGCGGGAAGTGAAATTTGAAGAGTTTCAAATAGTGCAATAATTCAGAGTGCAAACTGTTATTAGTACATTAGTCCTGTCGTGAAATTCGTTGAAGGTGAGAACCAAATAGAACAGTATTTCGACCAAGGTTGATTTACCTTTCGCGTTGTTTGCGGGGAGTCGATTGATGTGTGTTGAGTTGGACAAGGTTAAGTTGGATTTGAGTAGCAGTTGATTAAAAGGAGAACCGAATAGCGGTTGATTTGAGTTGAACGGACGACCAAAGGGCAATTAATGTGAGTTGTGTTGTGTGGACGAACGAATTACCGGGATTTATTGGGTTGACCAAAAATGCCCCTTCATGGCATTAGGAAGTGGGAGTGGTTTTCATTAAACAATTAAGCAGATGCATTTGGATAGCTAGGATCCAATTGCACAGGCATTGTGACAATGGAGGATTGGCATATGGATATGTCTGAACAAAGATGGGAATCAAGATAGCGATTTCGAGCAGTTGCTAACAAAGGCAATACCGTACCAAATGTGTGAGTGGATTTAGATAACACAAGAATGTCATGAGAAATAATTTGAAAGAATGCAGAATTAATTAGATGAGTCATGATATTAGGAACATTTTAAGAAATTTATTTGATTATTCGTTTGTATGGTTGAAGTTTCGCGAAACGAAATTCGCGACAACTCCAGACATTGCTTATAGCATTGATATCGGAGTATGATACTCCAGACATTACTGATAGCATTGATATTACTGGGAGAAGACCAAATTGTAAAACAACAACACGAGAAAATTACTTTTGAGATTTGGAGCCAAGCGCTTACGAGTAGAGGCAATTATCAGTTTGGGCTTCACTGTTGGAATAGTACTAAAGGAAACGATATATAACTCTTAGGTCCTGCTCGACACTCAACAATTAATTTCAAAGCCCAATCCAAAACCACATTCCTACTCATGACGATGAAAATAACAAAAGATTTCACTTGCCATGTGAGTCTCAAAGCAACCCTTATGTTGTGTTTCGGCTTATAAAGAATGTTGCGATTGCTTACATCATCAACGTAATATACGACTTGCTAGAATACGAAAAAATTTGCTTGACTATGAAAGAATCAATTAAAATCGAATCATATATACTTCACGATAATGCTCATTTCTTTCCGTTCTTATCAGCAAGGAATTTTGTTCAAAAACCTATTTTAATGCTAATTGTGAATTCACTGCTATTAGTTTTCAACTACAAAACGCTGAGAGGTTGCAGACAGATCCAGTTTGCCACTAACGTCATTTTGCAAATAATTTCGAGAACCCTTCGATACTTCTTCCGACAATTGCCGGAAAGGCAAAAGGTGGAGTGGCAATGTCTGAAAAGTTAATTCATCTGCGACAAACCGAAGGAGATTTGAGAAGGACAATCTGTCGGCAGAACTATTCTTTTCACTTTATCACCTTACTTATCACTTCGTTCTCTTTCTTCTCCATCTCTCATTTTGAATGATAAATTTTTATACTCATTCGTTGCAGTCATCAATTCTTTGTATGTGCATTAACATGGCGTATGCATGCATGTACGACCTCCTCCTCTTCATTTTTGCTGCTTTTTTAACTGCATTTCAGACTATTCTTTAGATGTTATATCTGAAATTTAATAGTGCAGTATGAGTGGAACCGTTCGATCTAAAATTTGTGTTTTGCGCGATGTTTGTTTCACGACGAATGCTCGGAGAAGATGCCAATGAGTCGTTGTTAGCAGCACTTCTTAAGCATCGGAAGTTGATTTTCAACTGAGAGAGGGCGGTATTGGCGCATACTTGTTTCGGAGCAACTTTGAGGATACTGATCATTGGACTACTATAACAAATATGTGGAAGGGTGAAGCTTTTGAAACAAAGACCTCTTGATTTCCAGATAAATCGATAAAACTGACAGCAAAAATAAAAACGAATAAAACTGGAAGACCTATTTATGGATAAAACTTCCTTCGACCTTTTCTTGTCAACGTTTTGTTCGTTATTTGTGCCTTTTTCGTCTATAACGTCCCTTCAGCAACCCTTTCTACTATAGAACATGGCATTATTATAATCGATTTTAACCAAAAAGTATTTCTAGAAAGTTGTATGTTAGAATTCTCTCAGTGTTCACTATATCAGTGCTCCAATCTTGTTACGGAACTGTAGCCGAGTAGTAGATTTAGATGGTTTCTTGGAGAGAAATATAAGAACAATCGGCTTGTCTGTCAGAGAAGCGCTTTCAGAATGTCGATAGAAGAGAAATTCCAGGCTGCTGTAAATGTTATACAGAAAATGCCGAAAACTGGTAAAGATTTCATTCTTTTTCCATTGATATATCAGCATCGTTATCAGTTGTTATGTAGCAGATGCTGCTGCAAAAGTCTAAGGATCGTTCTACGAATAGCAGGGGGTTTATTAGTTATAAAGCATACTAATACAACTGTTTCAATAAATTAGTTCTGTTGCAGTACATTACAATTCGACAATTATTAGTAGAGCAATCGTCGAAATACGTTCAGATTAAGATTAAAACCGATTGATTACCGGCCAAAAATTTAAAGGAAGTGTGCAAGATGATATCGAATATCAGTAGGCCAAACAATTATGAGAAATTTTAAGCCATGCTTGAAAAGATTTGCATGAAGTCTTAAACAACTACAACATACAAAACTGAATTAATTAAGATGTGTTGTAGGCCCAATGGTACCAACCAATGATGAAAAGCTTGCATTCTATTCCTTGTATAAACAAGCAACAGAGGGTAAGAATCGAAAAGCACAACCAAGTTTCCTGAATTTTGTCGAAAAGGCGAAATGGTCTCTGCTCAATTTCATCAGTTTTATTCAGTTTGAAGCACCTAGGAAAAGAGGAATGAAAAAGGAAAGAATGCTTTGAAAACCTTCAACCTGTCATGCTGTACTCTGAAAGTTTGCAGGAATGAGGGAGGGGGAGGGGGGAAGCTTCGACTACCTCTTCATTTGAATGAAAACAATTACAGCTGGACCTGATCATTTGCAGGAAAGCATGGAAAGAATTGGGTGAAATGTCATCAGAACAGGCGAAAGAGAAGTATATTAATTTGGTGAAACAAATTATGGATAAGATGTCGAGAAAGATGGATGTGGAGAAATGGCTTCGGCAGATTGATCCTAAGTTATCAGAGGAACTTGCTTTGATATAGCTGACAATAATATGTGTCTGTAAAGATAGGATATATTAATTATCATCATCTAAACAAGTTTTCGTGCCAATTTTATTTAGAAACAGAAACATTCTTAATGTGGGTTCACACTTCGTATCTTTTTCTGAGAGTGTAAATGGACTTTCTTATTTGAAAAGAAAAAAAACTTAATATTAACTGAGCCATTTGTAAAATGATTGTCGAAAAAAGTTTCTGATATTGTAGTAAGGATTTATTTTCTGCAAAAGATTAGTAGATATATTATGTGAGGATGGATGAATCCATTCACGATTGAAATTGTTTATTCGTCTAAACGAGAATTGTAAGAGATAGAATGCGATGGAAGGTGAAACTAGTTATCGATGCTGAGGTGATAAGGTAGTCGAGTCCAGAGATTTCTCTCCTTTGATTTTGTCCCTTTCCAGATAAAGGAAACAATAAATCATCTGATGGAAGTAGCTAATGATAAAAAAGGAATTGTAATATCTGACAACAATCATCGGCTACGTTAAATGCTAAAAGTAGGAAAATATGAAAAATGAAGAAGGGTGTAGAACTTCTGGAAAATCAGTAAATTAATGCTTCTATAATTAGAGCTTTATTTACTCATAAATTTTTTCCTCTTTTCAATAAAACTGAAATTTTCACCATTTATTTGTTATAAAAAGCTATTTGTATATGACGTCTGACATGCAAACATTTTATTAAGTGTATAAAATAATTTTAATAAACCGTACGATTAAGGAACTGAAACTATTCCTTTCTGTGAACGCACATTTCGACTACTTAGATACTTCAATGAAAAAACAACCAATTACTTTTATCCACAATGAAAACAAAAAAGATTCTAAGAATGATTATTATGCGTTAAGAAAAGAGGAGATTTATGTACCTTCTCACCAATCGCTACTGTTCCAGTTGGAGTTCGATTAACACATGAAATGAACGTAATGCTTGATAAAAGCTACAGCTACACGGTCATTCCAATTTTTTATACAATTTCTTTTAATTAGCCTAGTGTCTTCAGGTCTTACTTGCCACACATAGACATCACTGACAGCTTGGTCTACAAACAGAATAATTTAAGAGTGCCGAAGAGTTGTTTTAAGGATTCCTAATGTTTAATAAAAAATTGTGCAGACATCAGGAAACTCACTGCACTGTTTTTTCAGTGCAGTGATTAATTAAACTGATTCTGTATTCTCATAAAGCCTTGTTTGCGAAGCACATTTTGCCTCCAGTTCACGAAGCCATAACTGGCAATAAAACAAAAAGTACATAACAACGTGAATAAATTAAACTGTGCAGACCGACTTGTCTTTTCATAGCACGGCTTCAAACCAAGATGTTTACTTCGCGAACAGTTCACTTTGTCATAGAAACCGGTTTCAAGACAATAAGCTGCAAAAGTTCGAGATATTTTGCAAATATTACTCATAAAGAGCATTAAAAGTGTATTCCTCTGAATAATGATTGGTCTTTCAAAAAAAAAAAAAAAACAAAATTACTTCCGGGATTGTTTCTTCCAAATTCATCCTTTTTCCAAACATGGAATATCATACTTCTGAGTCCACTAATGAGAAATTAAAATTTGAGCAAAAAGCTTATGTGTGACAACTATCAATAAAGTAACGGTACCGCATAAAAATCCATGGGCAGGAGAACCACATAAGTGCTGGAATTCAACAAATAGTTATATTGCTATATCGAAAATGGAGAGTGTCACTAATTCGTTTATCAATTTATCTCTCAATGAGAGAAGAATTGCAAGCTTTCTAATTTTTGTCAAAACATATATCATCCTCTAGTTGCTTAATTAAGTAGAAAATAATTCAATCAACAAATGAACGACCTGCTTTTACAGCATTTTGTTCAAACGGAGAGCATGCTATGCACCTTTCTAGAACGATGAATGGCTCATTTTTGTAGCACATGTGATCCGGTAACTTTGGAATAGTTCTATCAGAGACCTTAATTTTTTCTTTTTGAATTAACTGAAATCACACAACTATTTTTGTGTCTGAAGCCTTTTTTAGATACGAATCATCCACGTTTTGGACAGTTATTTTTCGCAGAATTAATTTTTGTTTCTAATTAAAGCCCAATATTTACTCATTAAAGTAGCAAAAGTTAGAAATCAAAAAGCTATTAATTAGATTCTTACCGGCTGCATACCTTGGGATACACCCTTTATTGTGCTCTGTTGAATATTCCATGTGACAAACTTTTTTAGCGTAAAATCAGCATCGTAGACATTTTCCAATCGATATAGACAAGCAAAAAATATAAACGACACTCTGGAAAGGGATTTATTTTAATGTTTTCGCTTTATTTCAGTGAAATTTGAAAAATTGCTATTATATTATATTTCAAAACGTAAGCATAGATACTATAATAGCAAACATCTTCAGCATAAAAATGGGTTCCATAAAGTCAAATCAATATTTTTTCCCTTCCAATCACATTTCTTAATTAGAAATCAATGAAGTAATTATTAAATTTTACAACTTTTTCAATCTGGAATAAAGAACTTGCTTGAAAAGATAACGCCCTGTAATGATCACAAAGTACCGAAATGAAATAAATATTCCGAGAACTCTAATAATAATAATCTGCTTTTCAAATTAGAACTTACTAGTTCAGCTAATTTAATTTCAAGCTTTAAGAGAATGAACAAAATAAACTGATTTGATGATTGACAACTTAAGTACCTTTTAAGATTAGTAATCTGGAGCTGTAGGCAAAAAGATTTAGAAATAAAACCTACAAGATAACAGTACCAAGTAGTAGGAAGCGTCGATTAATCAATACTTCAAACATTGTTAATCCTTAACAAAATTATTCAGCTAAGAAACCTGAAATAAACAGAATATTCTTTTTCATCAAGAGGAGTGATGAATAAGGTAAATTCATCGAGAAGGACGAATTCGTCACCATCTGATACGAGATAATTCCAGAATTTCAAAGGAATTGCTTTTCGCTATATTATTTTCCACGAATTTGACCGGAAACCATGCTGAAATCACCACCATCCACAACGAACAGAAAGGAAAGCGCCGTCGATAAATGACGATGTCAAAAAAGTCGTCCATCGGGCTAATGGTCACATCGCGACGAAGCCTTTTAAATTCGATTCCTTCGTTCTGTGTCTGTTTGTGGGGTAGCTTGAGCCGCTGTTCGAGACGTCTGCTCGTATATCTCATATTTACTTTAACTCTTCCTCTTCTAAAACTTGAATAAAAAATGATTTTGTAGTTTAACGTATGAGAAAGTACGATTTAAGATGATCATTACTTTAGTCTTGATGATAAAATGGCGAAAAGTAATAATTCAAAATAGTTCCAAACAGTGTCAGTTCAGCAACATTCATATGTTGAATCTCATAGAAGATGCTTAAGGCGTATTCCAAGATTATATTATCAAAGATATATCCTTAACAGCCTATCATTGTTCACTATGATTTCATCTTTGTTATCTTTCACATATTTCATTATCATTTATAGATTCTCTCCAGTATGGTGTAAAAGTGGTGATATTGACTGGTGACAATTCTTACTGGATATGGATCATAATGGTAACGATAATGGGCAATGATAATGATATCGTTGGTTTCGTAGAATGAACGAAGAGCATAACCTCGCTGTTAGGTTTTTCTTTGAATTCAAAAATGATGCCATAATCTGAGATGGGACGTGATAATCTCAGTCCACTGACGACACGAGATGTGATGAAAGTAATAGCGACGACTTTTGCCTGAATTTCTCTTCATTTTCAGATCATTTCTAAATGTTAGCAAGCTGTCGTACTCAGTCTATAGCTATTACCTATTGGATATTTTTGAAGCGATGCATGTCAACGGCTCAAAACAATATCACTTATCATATGGGTTTGGATGCATCTGGTAGTCATGTGGCACAAACCGCACTAATCCTTAATGACGCTGCTAGATTAACATATAGAGATCTATCAACACAAGTCGGTAGGATGGTAGCACTCCTACATACCACATTCGGGCTTAGTGTATGTTGTCTATTTTTGTTCAGATTAAGCCGAATTCAACAGTTTATTATTAATTTAGAATTCACGGTTAATTTTTATTGCGTGAGCTAATCGATTAACAACATCTGGATCAACTGCCGTGTAATAGGAAATGTCGCATCACTTTGTTTTAAATGGCTTTAACCGAATTCGTTATTCCCTTGCAATTTCAGCCTTGGATACAGTGGTATTCTTTTTTCTTCAAATTGAGTTCTAATCGTTTTATTGTTAAACTATCACTTTTCAGCGTGGCGACAGAGTATTGACTCGAGTTGAGAAATCCATGGATAGTTTAGTGCTTTATTTGGCAACGATACGACTTGGGGCTATTTATATACCGTTAAATCCGGCTTATACACTAACAGAAACCATCCATTTTGTCAAAGTTAGTTTTTGGGTGATTAGGTATTAATAGTTTATAGCAATATCTTTTAAATTTCTTGGTGGGGGATCTTCTTTGGTTCCCTGTCATCGGATATGCATTGCGATGAAATATACAATGTATGATAGTATTGTATGAATGATATCTGGAAAGTTAGCCTTTAGCAATTATTTGTCATGAATTTTTTCACTTATTAGACCTTATTAAAAAAACATTGCATTTTAGGATAGTGATCCCCATTTATTTGTTACCTGTAATATCAAGCAGGACGAGATTTTTGCAAATAAAGTTGAACACGTTATGGATTCTACTGTTTTCTTCGAGGAAAGTCGTCAGATGAGGCCCGACTATGGTATAGAATGTGTGAAGTCCGATGACATTGCATGCATTTGCTATACTTCCGGAACTACGGGTTTGTTTCAGCATTTCACATACAGAAAAATAGGAAAAAATCAAGTTGTTTTTTGGTAAATTTTAAAAATATATCAGATGTTTAGGGAAATACCAGAAGTGAAGAAATATTTAGGTTCACCAAAAGGTGCTATGATAAGCCATGGTGGTCTCACATGGAATGCAGAAGCACTGGTAGATATGTGGAAATTTTCACAGAAAGATGTGCTACTCCATATGCTTCCGTTTGATCATATACATGGAATGTTCATAAGTCTCAATTGCACCTTCTTTACGAAATCGAGTGTAATTTTCAGGTAATAATGTTATTTCAATCCTGTCAAATCACTTATCCAACTTGATTAAAATTTTAAGTGCATGAAATAGTCTTTGGAATTATCTTTTATTAATACAAAGCGAGAAAAATAAGAATTGCAATTAAAGAGATTTGTCTCCAATAAATAAATTCTTTAGACCAAAATTTGATGTGAACGATGCTTTGGATTGGTTACCTCAATGTACGGTCATGATGGGTGTACCGACATATTACAAGTTTCAGTTTTTTACATCTTTACTTTCAACAGATTTAAATACTTCTCGAAAGAAACCGATTATTTTTCTTCATAACTTATATTTTTGAAGAATTTAGTCAAATTAATCGAAATTTTTTAAATCTTTACGACTAAGAAATTTAGCCGTTTGATGGGGAGATCTAATTTCGGCAAAGATCTAACAAAAAATATTCGCCTATTCATAAGTGGAAGTGCACCTTTATCCACGGTGTTATGGGAAAATTTCAAGCAGCGAACTGGACATGAAATATTGGAACGTTATGGCATGACTGAAGGTTGGTTTCATACTTTTACTTCTTGTTACATCTTTTTAATTTACAATATATTTGTTGTTGCTAGTAATTGAATAGTATAACTTCTCTTATTCCATTATTTCTTTTTGTTGAATGCATCATTATACGTTAGAAATAATTATTTTAGCTCCTAGTGAAATATTTAGGTCTTAGTGAAATTATTGTTTTGGGTACTACTAAGCTGTAAAATCTTAGCTCTAAATATCTACTGCAAATTTTTTATTTAATATTAAATGTTCTTGCCTAAACTATAACCATATGCAGGCTGATAAAAATGAAAACAATAATTCGGACTAAAGTAATAGTGGACATATCGTTAATGGAATGTATTGGCAGAAGATTTGATTATCCCAATTAGTATGGCAAATATATTGCGCTGTAGATTAAGGACTAATAGCGCTAAAGAAATAATACCACGCCTATATATTAGTAAAGAATATTGCCATAACATACATGAAATTTATAAACTGCTGAATTCTGCATGTAGTAACAGTTTTAGCTAGAATACAACAAGAATACTAAAGTCCGGAACAGAGTCATTATTAACTAGGAGTTTGTAAACAGCTGCTTAAATACATTGGTTCACTTATAGCTCCGACTTAAATAGCAGTTTTTAGCGGCTGTAATTACAACTAATCCTTACAATGATCGTAGGAAAGGATCTGTTGGAAAAATTTTACCGGGTGGCAGTGTAAGTTTTTCTTCTTTTATTTTTCACTTAAATAATTCATTTATGCCTTTTTCTATAATATCGTACATGTGAAATGAAAAACTCCTTGTTTTCTATCTCAGTAAGAGTTATGACCCATCCAGAATCAAAAAAAATTTAGAAAATCATAGCAAACTTGATTGCATGGATTGTACAAATGTTTCAACCTTAATGACTAATTTTAAGTAATGAAGAAAAAAATTTCTATCCTTTGTTTCATAACGTAATAAATTAGGAAAAAATTGGTAGGTTTAATTTTTTTAAGAAATAATTTTTTTGTCAATGTCAAGTATTAGGCAGTTGGTGATTCAGATCATTGCTGCAATCATTTAGTCTTGTTAAATTATTAAAAATTAAAATCTTACGACACATATATTGTAGATTCGTACAACCGAAGATGGTTTAGTGCAGATCCGCCTTCCGAGCTTGTTTTCTGGTTACTGGAAAAATGAGAATGAAGCACAAAAACTTTTTACTGATGACGGATTTTTCAATACTGGCGATATTGGTAAAATTGATGACGATGGTAAAATTTGATTCCATCTAAAATTGTATATGATTCAAACCCTCTTTAAATTCAAATCAAAACAGATTGGAAGAAAAAAATCCATTATTCCTCTTTTTTCACTAAGTTTTAACTTCCTTGTAAGATACCATTGAAAGTGGTATATTCATGTGAAACTGTTATTTGAATGATTATTGTTTCACTCCAGCTCAAAAAAGTATTAACTGAAAATGAATAATAATATTGATATCATTTTATAATTTAATATTTGATAGAGTTCGCTGAATATGCCATGATGATATGATCCGTTAAACATTCAGGGCTAAGGATGTTCCATTATTTTTACTTCTCAGCATCTATCAGTTGAGTTTATATTTGAAGGTTTTTTATGGATACAAGGTCGTGCAAAAGATTTGATTATAAGTGGCGGATTAAATGTTTATCCGAAAGAAGTGGAAGATGCTATAGATTCTTTGCCTTATATATTGGAGTCGGCTGTAATAGGTAAAGTTATTTCAGTGTTTTTTGAGCGTACGTATTGTCAAAATATTGACAAACAGCGTGAAACTCGCTTCTTCTGTAATTCCTTCTGGTTTTTTGAGTTTTATGCTAGTTATCGAATTTTTAAGAAGATGTTTCATTTCATTGTTGATACAAATACATTTGAACACTGAATATTATCTTTTTGACCTTTCATTCTAATCTGATACATGAAAATGCTGCTAGATAACTTTTGCAGTACATTTATATATATATATGTTTGATTTGGCAATTAAACGAGAAAATGCAGCAGGAGGAATTCATGCATACATCAGTTTGATTATGTGCTGTATAGTTTGTCTTCAGGTATTCCACATAATGATTTGGGCGAAGTAGTATTGGCAGTATGTGTACCAGAATCAGGTAGTCATGTATTTTTGCATGAATCTGAAGCGATTCGTATTCTTCATACAAAACTTGCTAACTATAAAGTACCGAAACGTTTTCTCTGTCTTGATCAGTTGCCACGAAATGCGATGGGGAAAGTACAAAAGAATATTCTCAGAGAACGATATCATAGTTTATTTGGCACTCAATAGCCTAAATATTTTGTGTAATTGTTGATTGAAGGTTAGATTAGCTATAATAAGCTTTCCATCGATTACGTTAGCAACCCGCACAGCTACAGAGATGTTGATGGAGGAAATTTTTAAACTGCTGCTTAGATTTAAATCCCGCTCAAGATCTGATGCGCATCAAACATGTTTAATTAGTAACAACATTATATATAT